AATAAAGTCTAATGTTACAACTAATTGGGGATCCCTTTCAACCCAAACTCCCAGGTTTTCTACTTTAATTACTATAAGTTATTTTAGTTAAATATAGACTTGTTAGACGTTATCTACAGAAATGTCAGAATATTGTCTAAAAGCTGGTAAAAAGCTATTTCTATGAACACTCAAGACAGTTAAAACTACAAGCAGTTGAAGATAAAATTATGAAAGTGAAAATGAAACTGATTTAAAACGTTGGCAAGTCAGAGATGTCAAAATTTTATTTGTGTCAAATAGGCGGCATAATGTGTTCTTGTTGTTTTTGATATTGCTTAATTATCACTACTTTTACACGGTTCTAAGCAAAATAAACTATATCAAAGTTGAAAGATCTTTGTAATACTTGGTTTATTTACAGGATGACTTTAATTGCTGGATGTTCGGCCCCTCAGCTGTTGACCTGCACTAACTGTGGCCCCCCGGAGCAATTTAGTTGAATAGTCCTGGTGTAAAGGTTTGCACAAACCACTCTGGAGTCTTTGAGACGAATGTTAGGTAGTAGTGTTGTAGTACTTGAGAACGGTCTTGGTCTTAAGACCGATTACARATGCTGTTGAGTCCGGGACAAGACCAAGACCATAAAAAAGTGGTCTTAAGACCGGTCTCAAGACCACTTTTTTATGGTCTTGGTCTTGTCYCGGACTCAAAAGCATTTGTACTCGGTCTTGTCTCGGTCTCAGACATTGAGGACTCAATTTTATTTCAAGACCAGTCAAGACCACAACTGTGCAAATATCACTAAATAGCCAGATTATTTTTCAATGTATTTATTTATTTTTGCTTTTATTTAATTTAAAATGTAGTTACTGATTCAAATTCAAACCTGACTCATTGCTATTTATGTATTTTTGTCACCGGCTGTCACTCGTCCCCACCCCCCTTCACTTGCATGCAGCACCATGGTTCTCTGGGAGTGATAGAAGATGTCTGCAAAATTTTAAGTAAAACTATTTAGCTACATAAACAATATAGTAAAACGACAACAACCAAGAGAAAACGGACAGCAGCTTGAAAATTTTGCAGTGCTTCACTTTCAGAGACGGTGGGGACAGTGTCAAACTTTTACCATCATTAACGTTAACAATCTGCCTCTGTAGAAAAAATCTTTCTAATGCCCTCACATAGCCTAGTGAAAACCAGCCCCTTCTTATTCGCTTTGGGACACTAGAACTGAGTGAAACTGCGTAAGAAGGCAAGGGCCAGGCTAGCCCTCACACAAAGATTTTGTCAATATTAGCTCTATATATTAGGTTAGCTACATGTATACAGAATACTCCATCTTTTAGGACACTTTTTTTCTGGTCTTGGTCTTGACTCTGTCTTGCCCTCCCTTGGTCTTGGTCTCAACTTGGTCCAGGCCCTGAAAGTCTTGGTCTCGTCTCGGTCTCGATACATTGTGGTCTTGGTCTTGACTTGGTCTCGGGTTAGGTGGTCTTGACTACAATACTACTAGGAAGTACTCCACTTTGGTATAAGCTGCAGTCCTGAGCATAAGTCCTGTCAGAATTAAACTTTAATTCCCCCAAATGATCTTTCCAAAAGTTGTCTATAACAGGTAAAATATACTGTAACTGTTCATAACTTTTTTTAACAGAATCCCACTTCTAAATAGTCAAACCTTACTGTATTCGAATGATAACCTAGTTCTAACACTGTGATGACAGCTTATATTATGGTTAGTTATGTTAATCAAAAAAAAAAGCTGGTAACATAAATTGCAACATCACTTTTATTTCTGGTTCAAAGGATTAAATTAATCTGGTTCTTTGGACTTAAAGAGCATATTTACCAAGCTAGTGGAATGAATGCAAATAACAATTACCAATGATCAGCTTATTAAATATGCGTAATGATACCTAAACATTAACAGGATTAAAACATTTCTTTTACATAATCTTCTAGTTTAATTTCAAATCCTGCTCTTGTTTTTGTGTATATGACAAGGTATTCAATTAGCCAAATTAATGTAATTTGCATTTTAGAGATGAAAAGAAAAACAAGCCAACTGTTGAACAAGCTTTAATTAGGCTGTAAAGATGCACCATAACTGTTGTAACTTCAACATGTCTGTGAACTAGAGTGTTTGTGTATGTTATTTGTGCACATATGTTCTAGCTGCACATTTTCAGTCAGATTTCGGGATAATTTTTGAAGTTGAAGTTGAAGTTGAAGTTGAACAGCCCAGATTAAAATCAGGTCTCTTTGTTAAAAAGAAAAAATTGTATAGGTTTTCTGGACGGGTTCTTCTCTAATGAAACGTTTCGTCTCTCCTCCAAGAGACTTCTTCAGTCTGAGAG